TTTTTGTGAGGTAAAAGTTGTATATATTGTCCCGTATTGTTCAAGATTTTTATGTTAGGTAAAAGTTGAGAGTCTGCTCTTTAAAATCATTTGTGTGGGCTTTGTCCCGTTTTGCCCATTTAAGAATACATATTTGTAATTTTCAGCAACATTTGAATTCCAACACGGAAATACTTGGAGTTTGGCTAGAGGGCGATCGTAAAACTACTGACGCTTATTCACTCAAAATTAACATTTACAATGATTTTTATGTAAAAAATAAGAATATTATACATTTTTGGAAAATGGCCGTAGCCACGCTCATGTGTATATCTTGGTAACCGCTACACCAATTTCTTCCAAACCTGACACAAGCTCTGATCCAATACTTTTCGTGAAAAATCCTGTAAAACTGTCAAACAGCAAAATCACTCTCTGAAGTGAGAGTAAAAAGTGAGAAACAACAAAATTTACGAGAACAAAAAAACATTTTTCCTGTAAAAACGTCAACTAGTGATTGCTTGACACTTTTCATGATTTTACCAGAAGAAAAAGTTCGGGTAAAATCTTGCAACTTCATTCTCTACACAACTCTCCAAAAGACGCTCCCATTTACAGGATTTTGGAGGATTTTGGAGTACGGGAACATTTTTCCTGCAACTTCCTGCAATTTCGTGTAAAATCCTGTAAGTTCATGGAGTACTGGATCAGAGCTACAGTTATTGGTCTTGGTAAAGTAACGGCGGAAAATTTTAAAAATTGGACAATAACTATGCCCACATCCCATGTAACGGTAATTTGGAGAAATAGGAAATCTTCGATAAATCGGTAAATACTGAGGTTAATTTCTTCAAAATTGATTCAAAATAATTCTTTAGCAAGAAATACGCTTAAAATAAAATTTTTGAAAATGGCCGTGGCCCCGCCCACTTATGACCACATATGTGTATCTCGGTAACAGTTGGATCAATTTGTACCAAACTTGGTATGGTTATTGTACATGAGACATAAAAACAAAACTTTAAAAATTATTGAAATCAGGCTAAAATTACGCCCACTGTTCATGTAACGGTAAATTTCAGAAATGCTTAAAACTTCAATACATTTTTCGAAATTTAAATAAAAATAGTCAAAACTTGTTAAACTGTCGCGACCCTATTAATGCTTATTATAGTTTCTGTTTCGTAGTACATAAAAGAGATAAATAAATAATAAACTATCCGAAAACTGAGATCTACCACATTTTTTGAAATGTACCACATTTTTTCCAGATTCTGCCACACAGAATTCTTTTTAAGTCCGATCACTGCCTGTCGTCCTAATCCACATATGAAATGCTGTTGATTGAGAGAAAGAGAAAAGCAACGTCACTCATGCGGTGGTGAGTTTTCTTTAACACGAGAATCCCATAAGATCGGTCACGTCAGCTGACACGGTATACGATTTTACGTCGGTGTCTGGTTGAGCTCTTAGTTTTGGGCACGAAAATGAATTTTTGTGAGAGTATTTCGTAGATAGATAGTTGAATAAAGCACTGCGACCAGTAGATCTATTGTGCCCTCAGCTCATCACAGTACCTCACCTAGCCCTAGAGACTCTATAAATTTCAGAATTGATCCCGGGGGTAGAGAATGTATGTGGTCCTCTCTTGGCCACAAATTTCGTGCTTACGCTCATTTGCCCCAAACTAGCCAGAAAATGTAAAAAACAAACTTAATGTTAGGAAAGAGTATAGGTACAATTACATCCACAATATGTAACAAACGACAGCAATTTTAATGCTGTATTTTTAGAAATTTTCTTTTTAGAAAAACAATGTAAAATTAGCCATAAATAAAAAAAAAACAAATAACTTAAGGACGAGCACACCTAAGGTTAAACATTCTAAAAATACAAACAAACAAACGAAGTGCCAGTTTGAAGTTAGTAAAAATCGTGTTGATCTTTGGGAATTGCTTTGCATGTAGTACCTTCCAACAAAACAAATATCGCACATAGATACTTTTAATTAAAAATTTTGCTTATACTATACGGTGTATAGTGTCAATTAGTAAATAGAATATGTAAAATGTAAATACTTAAAGAGACCTAAATTTTTTTCTTGCCAACAACCGGGACATTTTGCGTCCCGGCAAGTATTTTACCGGGACCGGGACATAGCTCTTAATTCCGGGATAGTCCCGCCGAAAACGGGTCGGTTGGTATATACATACGTTGAATGAATTTGTGTCTTGGTTGTATGAAAGATCAAAATTTTTTGATTTTCTGGCAAGTTGTACAACTCGTGGCTACATTAATGGCCATGTGCGTTTATTTTACGGTTGCCAGACGTACTGATTTTATCAGTACAGTACTGATTTTTCAACTCTTGTACTGATTTTATTCATTTCTTCAATCAGTACGCTAATGTCCTGATTTTTCAAAAATTTGTACTGATTTATACTGAATTTTCGATCAAAACAAAACACTTTAGGATTTTCTTAAGGTTTTTACATAACGCTGGAGCTTGCTTAAACTGCACTGTAAAAAGAAAGAAGAAAATAATTTAATTATCGTTGGCATGTTTCAAATAATGTTTGATATGCTCAAGAAATTAATACAACAAAAAGATCAATCGTTTAATGGGCACATCGTCGAGTCGTTACGTACCAGTTGAGATTATAGCATAAATTATTTAAAAAGAAGGCTGACATTTTTTGTCAATTGTTGTTGTCTATCTCGAAAATATCTTTCAGTTTAATAACAGTAAATTTGAATATTCGAATGGCTTTTGCCTATAACTTAAGCTGCCTTTAGTTAAGGCGATTTTTGACAGACGATAATCGCCTGCTAAAGTTGACTTGCTGTCTACTTTGAGGCAAGCGATTTTTGAATCATCACGAGCGATTTTTCTTGAGCAATGTTGAATCGCCTAGAAAATCGCCTCATATAAATTCAGCTTAACAATTATTTTTTCTCAATTTACTGACAATGTGAAAGAGTTTTGCATACAAGACATAGAGTTAGACACTATTTTTAGCGAATTCTTAGTCTTTCCATGTGGAAATATAGATGAAGTCCTTAAATAATGGCACTTTTCCACAGTTTGAAAAAAATATGTAGGTTTGTTTTTTTCAATACCACACTCAAACGAAGCAACTGTCAGGATCTTAAGCATAAAGTTTGCTTCCTGACGCAAAGAGAGAAGCCGGGTTCTAATTAAAATTTTTTGAAACTGAACTTCAAATTAAAAGTAAAATATTGTTAAAAACAAGGACTCCGGCGTTTAAAAGTATTATCTGTTACTTCTATTCATAATTTTGCTTTGAATAAAAATGTACTGAAAAGTACTGATTTTTTCAGCATGAAAAAGTCTAACGTACTGAATTCGCGCATAAAAAATCTCTCAACCCTAGTTTATTTTGTACACTAAATAACCCGAAATAGTACGTGCTTTCGTTGAATTTTATAAATGAAATTGTAAAAATTAGATTTTACTATGAGATTGCTCGCAAAATTGTAATGTTTGTGGGCAAAACGTCCAACTTGATAGCGGATCGAACTGAACCAACGATCGCAACGTTTAAGGCTTGCATTATGACAAAATGATTTGTTTGTTGTAATTCATTCTGTTATTTACTACGATTATTCATGAAATCATTTGATGCGTTTGTGTAAAAACTGAGTGCATGAACACCATTTAATGATTTCCATTATACGCCAAATGGAGTTTATGCACTCAGTTTTCACTCAGATCCATGAAATGATTTCGTGAATTGGACTACGCGTAAACATGATGATTGTGCGTATAATTTATAAGGTAATTTTATGTTTTTATACTCTTGCTACCACATGAATATGTATATGAATTCGTGATAAAAATATATGAATACGCCTTGGAAGATAGAAAATGAGTAAGAAGAAATGTTGTAAAAAGGAATTTATCTTCTTTCAACTTAAATAAATGCAGTTTGCAAACAAAAGTGCGTACGTTACTTATTGTCTTGGTTATATTGCACGGGGAGAATCGTTAGAAATCGCGGCGAATTTGTAAGGATCTATTCATTGAATTATAAACATTTGCATTTATTTGTTAAACATACAATAGATAATTATGTGACAGTTCACTCCATTCAGTTACTTCCACTACAACCATGTCCTAAGTATGCAAGAAGGGCGAATTCATATAAGGTGATGTTACCGGAAAATGAATAAATAAATTATATATCAGAAAATGAATAAAACAAAATGAAATTATTGCTTAATTTCTAACCAAACCTATGTATGTAACTCAATCACTTAATAGCCCAGTTATGCATACTTTGTACTGCTTTAGCATTTTTACGTAAAAATCAAAACCCAACAGACTTCAACATGTGAAGTGCTATGCCTTGGGTAACCGCTTACACGCAAAACTGATTTAACAGATTCCTTATGTGACAACTCTCACGCAACGCCAAGTATGCATAACTGAGCTATAATGGTTTGCCGAGCCGTAAAAATATGTTTGCACATCAAATTTCGTGAGTACCTGGTGCTCACACCTTTTCTAAGAAGTTTCACTTTCATGTGTACGGTGCTCAACACGCCTTTTTTTCTTTGAATCAACATAGTTTAAGCATTGTTGATGCTATTTCCATTTGAATAAGGAAATAGCATCATCTACTTTACTTCCGAATTTTTGTTGATTTTATTTCGCTTTTGAAAAGGTAATAATGCATACTGGTGCGAAATAGTTTCAATTGACCTTACTTTCGTTGATGTTGTTAGTTGTTTTATATTATTCTGATGCAAAAACCAGTGAACATTGACTGAACATGCGTGTATGAGAAATATATTTTTTTTATTTCATGTACCTACATTTTAAAAATAACATTTAATTCAGCCCAGTGTTTTATAAAGCAAAATTAGTATCTATTTTATAAACAAAGGTAAATTGAAAACTAAAAATTTTAAATCAAATAATTCAATGTCAATGTCACAAAAATGCTTTCAAACTTTGCACTGAAATTTTTAAATTAAATAGTTAATTCTAAAATTACCTTGTTTGAATTCCACGTTACCACGATACCAAATAATTTGAGCAGCAGGTTTTGCATTTGCCAAAATACAATTCAACGATAAATCCTGATTTTCTCTCACTTCTACTTTGGAATTGTGCGCATATCCTTGTATTTCAATGAACCCAGGTGGAGCTTTAAATAGATCAAAAAAGGTAATTTTTAAAATTAATATGCATACATACATACAAATTTGTTTGTATCTGTATCTCAGACATTTCATCAGTTAAATACTTATTAGAGATTTCTCATACAACAGTCTATAAAAGTGACCAGATATCAAAACAGCGTGCCGAGAAAGAAAGTTACTATTTCATGGAAGACTCATTAAAATCCCTTTTTTTTTGTATCCGAGAGCACACAAATTTGTTGAAATAACGGTTGTTTGTAGCAGCTTACAGGAATCGAGATAGATATACATAGATATGTATATATATATATATATATATATATATATACCAAATACTCAGAATGAATAGGGAAGTCAATTAAGCTATGTATGCCGTCTGAATGTCCAAATTGAGATATCTCAACGAAATTTTGTATATATTAGAAGCCCTTTATCCACAGTAAGTTGGTATTGCAAAATAAATGCAAGAACTACGATATTTCAGTAAATACTAGATCCAAAATTAGTATGTGTAGTAGAGTTTTGGCATAAAATAAGACAATTATAATATTTTTTGAATATAGGCGTGGCACTTATGGCGTCGCTCACTTTCGAAGAATTGCTAGACTCCGCCTCACCAATACGAAATAAATAAGCTACTTCACTCAAAGCCGACGTATGGAATAATCTTAGCAATAAGAGATTTTTGCAAGCTGTTAGAAAATGGGACACACACTTATGACTACATACATATGTACATCTCGGTGACCGATATATCAATTTCTACCAAACTCAGTGCAATTATTTTCCTTGGGACAAAAACGCAATATGTTGAAAATTATTGAAATCAGACTAAAACTAGGCCCATATCCAAGGGCGCAGTAGGTAGGGGCAGGGGCAGCTGCAGCGTTAAACATTGCATTGGTACAGAATTGAATGAAACACCCATTTGAGTTTCTGTGATGAACAGGATGGAAAAACCCAACGAGAAAAACACTTCCTCTTCCGTTAAATCTTGTTGTTAATGGCTTAGACGAGGTTCCAGAAATAAGACATAAGGGTATTCATCCAACCTTATAAATTCATTATAAACCGTATAAACTTATAATTGTGTATACCTTATAAATTAACCGTCAAAATTTGTATGGAAACTCGTTTACACATTTCTGATAAATTTCTCCAGAGATTTCACTGAATAAACTTGATAAATGAAGCCAATGCAACTCTGTCGCAACTCTAGCTATGTTTTCTTGGGCAATAATCGGGATCCGCATAAAAAATTTTCACCCAAATTCAACAACAACGATATGATCCTGATAGAGATCTGGTTCAATTATTATCCGTTCTGTTTTTCTTGATTCACTGATAATTTGGCCGCAAAGTTTGGTAGCCGTCACAAATGAATTAATACACAAACAGACATTCTGCCATTGTTTCTTTTAACTTGCTTCAAATAAATAGCCCTTATGTTATATGTATACTTATTTAAATATATGGGCAAATCTAAAAAACAGGTAACCTTTGTGTTATTTAGGTTTATTTTCACTGTTGTAAACTAAATCAAGCTGGTTGCTTTTGGATATAATTCATTGACGTATACTTGAAGCCTCAAACAAAATTTGGATCAATTTGCTGCATAGCTTTTGAAATATAGGTGTTTAAATTTAAAAAAAAATAATGAAAACAAGTGAATTTTTTATGTAATTTTTAAGAGGGGCAAAATTAATTATGTCATAACTTTTGAAGCACACCATAGTCTGATTTGAAATTAAATGGGCATTTAGCACTTATGCGTACAATTCATATGTAGTAGGTAAGAAAAGTGTGCATTAAAAATAACGAAATGGCAAGTAACTCAAAGTCTGTAACTCCACATTTCACAATTTTCAAAATTTTCGGTTTTTCGCGTATAGGTTTTGAAGCATTTAATTTTAAGAACTTTTTAAGTATGTACTGTATTCTACAAACATTTACGAATAATTTGATACCTTAGCAAGAGGTGTGCTTTCAGAATAAACTAACTTTTAAAGATAAAATATTCTGCGATCTTGAGCGTAATTTTTATTTCAAAAACACCTTAATTGAAGGCACATTTGGAAAATACGTCGAAACGATCTAAATCTTTCTATAACTGCTAGTCCTTATAAAATTACATATACCTGTAAGGTGCTTCAAAAAATTTGTCTCTAGAAGTGTGCAAAAACTTTTAATGATGCTCCTTCTTTTAGTCGGAATATTTCGAGGGTGGTATCAAAGAAACTTTTTTTCGACAAATGTTCTGATAGTTGCTCTTACTTAATTGGAGCCTTCTAAATTCAATGGCGTCCTTAGTTTTACCCTATTGGCTCCACTTTTCGAGATAGCGGTACTTGAATCTTTGCTTAAATTTTAACTATTTTATAAAAAAAGTCCCTGAATTTTAAAGATACTTTACTAAAATTTTTCACAAAACCGGTTTTTAATATTACCTTAACATTCCATAAAATCATCGAAATCGGTTCACCAAAACACCTAGCTCCCATACAACTGATTGTCCAGAGACGTTGTTTTGCGTTATAACTCCTCCAATTAAACAGGTTAAAATTTAGTATAGGTTCAATTTAACATATAGTACGCATACAATTTATTATTCAGATATGAAGTTAGAGTTATAGCGCAAAAACACATATCTGAGTAATCAGTTGTATTGGAGCTATATGTTAATGTGAACCTATTTCGATAATTTTGAGGAATAATTAAGGTAATAATAAAAAACTGTTATGTGCAAAATTTTAGTAAAATAACTTCAAAACTGAGGGAGTTATTTATAAAAGAGTTAAAATGTAATCAAATTTTCAAGTACCATTATCTCGAAAACCGGAGCCAATCTGGTAAAACGGGGCATGCCATTGAGTTTAGAACGTGCCAATTAAGTGAGTTCAACTTCCAAAATCTTTGCCCAAAATTTACAACTTGAACAGCGTAATTTGAACCCAGCTTATTTTTTTATTTTCTATTTCATGTTTATTCCTCGTCTAACTTTTGAAGCACTTGATGAAAATGAATTACACTGATATTAATCGATTTATTAAGAGATTACGAATAAAATGATATATAAAACATAGGTGTGCTCACAAATTTAAAAATTAAAATTTTTATTTTGTAGTGTACCTATTTTTTAGATTTGCTCATATATTATCTCGTAAATATATTTTTTCCCATTTAGTGAGTTAGTTTCTATAATTTCTTTATCCTCGTGTATAAAGTTAGTAATACTGAGCTTTATAACCAAAGAAAACACGACTATTGTCGCATGTGTAAACTAAAAGAGAGTGTGGGTCGTTCATGTAACAGAGTGCATAAACTTATAAGAATATCTGCTTGATAAAGTTATCGGTTTAGATGAATAGGTTAGAATGGTGGCGGAAAATAATACGCCCAAGTAGCAGCTTAGTGCCATTTTGATACAAATGAATACCAATAATACAATTTTTACCCTAAAAGATGTGATACAATTTTTTCGCGAATCAACAACACGCATGAATCATGCTCCTAATGTATCATGAAAAGAATTAGAAAAGTTGTCAACGGAGGGAAATTTTCCACAATAGAGTGCGTATTAAGTACTTGTGTGCTACTATAACAAGGCCGATGTATATAATTTCTTTAATGACAATTGCTACAATTCAATGTTGCTGTAACCTACAGCCAACATTTTGCAAATGAAGACAATAGACCTTATCGCCGTTGGGCAGCATATTTTGGAGGTGGTTAAGAATGATTGCAGCATGCAGAAGGAGTCACTACAGAGTTGGTTAACAAATCTCTTATTATTACAGCCGATCTAGGCCAATGAAATGAGTACTGGCGACGGTCTATAACAACGGTGAGCAAACGCGGCTCTTTGAGCCAAATGCGGCTCTTTGCTTAGCAAAGTGCGGCTCTTTTTACTTTCTCCTTGAGTAGAATATTTTGGCCCTTTTTACTTTTTAATATGCATATAGTTTGTTGGACATAATTTTCCATTGTGTTGCTTTTTTATTTTATTTTTTTATATCGGAACATTGGCTTTCTGACTTAATATTCTTTACCGATATGATGGAATATTTGCAAAACTTTAATTTTTCTCTACAAGGAGAGAATAATTATGTATTTGATTTTCCGCAAATTATTTTAAATTTTGAAGCTAAACTACGTCTTTTTATTTAAGTTATTTTTTTACTTTTATCATTTTGAGCAAATAATACCGATTATTTCTGCTTTTTATTTTTTTAAGGCAACAATAAAAGTTAAAAATTTTTCAGGCAAAAATAAAGTCAAAGTTAAAAATGAAGTATTCCAGAGCTGTGTATATTCGAATGTGGTAGTTTTGAACCTCCTGCATGGATTTTAATAACCCCTATACCCAAATACCAGGATTAGTTCAAATAAGTACATACAATACATGAAGGCAGTTTTTGTGAACAGCACCAGATCAGCACCGATTATTCGATTTTCGAAACTGAGGTGCCAAATTAAAGGGCTTAGCCTCTAGATGTATATACCGCAAGGCATGCCTTCTTTAAATAGGGTTGCCACCTTTTTTAAATTATAAAATCTGCACCGTTCGTTGTATTAAAACAGGAGAGGTGCCAAATGAAAGGGCTAGGCCTGCAGATGTGCAAGAAGGTCTCAGCTTTTTGAATAGGGTTGCCACCTGCTTCTAAAATAGGATATTTACGCCGTTCGTTGTATTAAAACAGAAGAGGTGCCAAATAGAAGCGCTGGGCCTGTCGTTTTGCAAGAAGGTTTCAGTTTTTTGAACAGGGTTGCCACATGCTTCTAAAATCATAAGATACCGTTCGCGCAATTTAAAAAAAGGTGCCATGTAAATGGGCTTGATCTAAAGATTTGCAAGAAAGAACGTCTTGTTTTTTTGAAAAGTGTTGCCGACTAATCAATTTTTATTTTTGGGAGAAGCATCAGATTTACACCGTCCTGTCGCGTTTCCAAATGAGATGTCAGATGAATTTCCACGCCTTTGGGATGTGCCGCGCCCCTTTTTATA